TTCATTTCTTTTAAAGGTGCCATAAAAAATTTGAAAGATTTATTAGATGTCAGACCCAGTAAATATTACAGTTAAAATCAATATATTCATAGGAAATTATATTGTTTTTCCTCAGTATTCTGTAATAGGTTGCGGTTAATTTTAGTTTTAGTAATTGTTGTTTCATTAAGCTGACACTTTCAGTGACCCAGTGTAATTGGTATAGAAATAATGTCACCAAGAATGTTATATGCGTGAGCTGATAATTCTGGTAATAAATTAATCTTAGTGTTTATTAGGCATGCCAGGTTTAATTTCTCATCTTCTGTTCTCCAATTGGGCAGTTTCCTGGTTTGTACAAGAACAATGAGACGCCAGTGTTGCCCGCTGAGCAGAGGAGCGAGGCGGCCCATCTGTCTGCGCAGACCCACTGTTTTTGATGCTTCTCTCTCCTTGTTTTGCCGTTACTTTTATTGCGAATAGCATCAACCTGCAGCTCAGAGGCAGCGCTGCACTTTGGGAGGATGAGCACGCTTTTGGATCCACTCAGCCTTGAAGGCGGAGCTGCTGGGGGTGTTGCTGTCATAGTCTTTAATGTGTACAAAACGCATATCGGTCATATCCGAGGTGGCCTTCTGCTCTGCCTGGACTGACCCCTTCATCCGGAGCCTCTGTGAATGTTCCGCTGGCTGACAGTGCTGATGTCTGTTCGCTGGAAATACACACTGCACATCCGAAACCTGTCAAAGCTCGGGGAAAAACAGAGAGCACTTAGTGCTCGCGAGCAGAAACACAAACTGTACTGTGAAAGAAAAGTTCCTAAAGCAACATGGGCACGGGATCAAGCCAAGAGGGGTGATCTGTAACAAGCGGAGGAGTCTGAGAACAAATCGGGGGCCCAGCACAGTGTGAGCACATGTACCTCAGTGTAGCCCAGTTTCCATGACGATGGAATTCTGTGGAAATAGAGCCTCTCAAGGTCACCAGACGCAAGTGAGATTCCACGCTGACATGGTCACAGAAGAGCCTTTGACTTCGGGGAACACAAACGGCGCATTGTGACGTGGTGCCAAGGCGTGAGCTTTTCAGCGCCGAGATCAGTGACTCCGGGTGACAGCTGAGAGCTCCGTCTGACTGGAGCCAAGGATTAGCATACAGTATAAAGCCACACGTTAGGACTTTTTGTTCAAGAGCAGCTTTCTTTATCATTTCTGTTAAGAAGAGCCTGAGGTGTAGCTGAAACAAGCATAATGCCCCAGGCACAGTTACTGCCGTGGGGGTCTTTGGAATGACATGTACTCCAGGGGGAGAGGGTCAGTCAGGCTTGCGTGTGGATGTCACAGGGTGTCACATGGGGTCTGACTGCCCCCCCATTTCAGGCAGAGCAAGGTGACCTCATCCCAATTTGGTGAGTTGTTATCCCATGTGTTGTTATCCTCTCACACCCTGGAATTCACACGGTGTCACACACTGACATCACGAAGAGGGCTAACAATGCCCACGCACAAACACAATGCCACACGGGCAACACAGACACGCTCAGAGTGGCGCTTTCACCCCATAGAATCACACGCACAAACACACACACACACACACACACACAAACCACGAGACAGGCTTGGAACACATTTGCACGCACAGCTGTAGGAGCCCGCAGGTGTCACACCGAGTAGGGGGTCGCGAAAAGGGCCGTGATCCAATCCAATGGAGTCGGGGGGGGGGGGGGTTCTCCAAAGCTGTAATTTCACCAAAGCCCCCTGGTGTCGTTGCTTGGAAACCGATTCTAATTAGCAGGTTTGATGAGTCACACATGTGGTGGCCCAGACAGCAGCATTTTTTGGATGGTTTTATTCTCTCCCATAAAGTCTCGGCACGGAAGGCCGCGGTGAAGCACCGAGCTCTGCTAGTGAGCGAGTTTAGTGGCATTAACGAGGGACGTTTGGATGGTGCGGGGCTGTCATTTAGAAAAAAAGAGACCTGCACCTTTGCCCCCAGTTTGGAGGCTGTGGTCTCGTTAGCAAAACCCCCGTGGACGTGATGAAGAGTTGGGGGAGCACCAGCAGCTTCTCCATCCACAATGCGAAATGACCAGATGTTCTGTTTGTCATTTCGAAGGAGAGCAGGTCCTTAAGGCAGCTTCTCATCCAGCTGTGAAATGGAGGACCAGCAATAGACTGACCGGAAACCCGGACCGGTACTCATGGACGGTGAAGAAAAGGAGGCGGGGCTTGAAGGACATCTGGGAAATGATGACATCGCTGAGGAAATAAGGAATGGTGGATGACAGTGGGTCCACAAAAGGCACCAGAACTCATTTAGTGGAATTTACTCAGTTTTTTTCCTCAAGGCTCCGGATGTGAGGCTTAGAGAATAAAATGTTCCTCACATGTCAGTGATTTGGCTTGTACTGGATTTCTTGGCTTATGCCGACATCCAGGAAACCACATAAACACTCCAGTAGGCAGATTATTAATTAAGGACCCGTAACAAAAATCTGTCGGATGAAAGTGAAAGTATTTCTTCTGTGTCTTCGTATATTTGAAGTTCCCTGTGCTTTGGTGAAACTCCAGCCATCTGGAGGCATGTGGAGCGAAGGGCTGACTCGGGTCCATCCTGTTACTGTGTAGGTGTCTGCACTCTTTCACACACTAAAGGCCTTCAGCCAATTAACAGGAACATCAGCAGACCAAGAACATCATTGCAGCAAGCAGTGAGCTTTCACTGTCGAGGAATAATTGTGGTTAAGCTTAAATCAGTGTTTCTGAATCCGGTCCTTGGGGATCCCCCCTACCAGAGCAAAAACATGGAGTGTCTGGCAGGGAGCAAAAACTTGGACTGTCTGGGGGTCCCCAAGGACTGAGTTGAGAAACACTTGAAATGGTCGATGCAGTGACAAAACAAATTATTATAAAACAAATCGTATTTTATTGGGAAAGGACAAGCTTATTACCTGCCTTGTCCCAATAAAACATAAATAAGCACAGCCAAACAAACTGTAACAAAAAGTGTCCTATTGGAGGGAGTATTGACAAACCTGATTGGTTACTGCATTGTCAAGGTCCTTGTCACCTCTCCTTATACCCAAACAGTTGACTTCAAAGAGACACAATCCTTTAGGAGGCCTAACCCCACACACATGGATCCTGCATGGCGACCAGATGTGCTTTACTGAGACATTTGACCAGCACCTACAGCTACACACCAATGAAACAGCTTGTTTTCCAAGGGAACTGAACAGTCTTGGCCACAGTGAGGCACATTTAGGGTCAGATGCAACGCAGAGTCATTATTTCAGCATTTTTGATCATAATAATGGATGAAAAGCCCACAGTAACATTTGGCTCCCATTTAGTGAATAAAGCAGTAAGGTTTTTGTGAGAGGATGTCCTGGGCAGGAGAACCATTAACCATTTATTTTTGGAGTCATGGAAACATCAAGTAACATTCACAGGAGGCAGTAACATAAAAATACAGGTGAGATCTTGGGGTTATGGATCATCCTTGGGATGCTGATTATATATAGTTGCCATAAGTTATAACATCCATCCATCCATCCATCGTCCAACCCGCTTATCCTACTGGGTCGCGGGGGGTCTGGAGCCTATCCCGGAAGCAACGGGCACGAGGCAGGGAACAACCCTGGATGGGGGGCCAGCCCATCGCAGGGCACACTCACACACCATTCACTCACACATACACACCTAAGTTATAATATTTCAGACATATATATATATATATATATATAGACCCCAACCAGACCAGAAAGCAAAAAAAAAATCACAATTACAGCACAACAGCATCAGAGGTTCCTTGACTGCTAATGCTAAGCCATCATTCTCTGATATCACGGGTGCGGCTTAGACAGCAGTCCTCTCCGCTTTGTCGTTAATGCCTGAGAGTTTCCACATCCAGTCGTTAAGATGCTGACATCATTGGCCAGGAAGCAGAAAACCATCTGCTGACTGCCAGAGCTGTGAAGAAGGACTTTGGGACTGTAATTTTAGTGTGGACGAGCGAGGCCTGAAGAAAGGCCTCGCTGAGCAGACTCACGCCCTCCCTGGCACAGAGACACTGGTGAGGCAGGGCTCTCTTAATGAGGGAGCAGCAGGACCATGGTGGGGATGTTATCTGGCCTCAGATCGCCCAAAAGGCCCTCTGTCATTACTGCAATTAAGGACTCAGCCTGGTGCTGGAGGTCGCGGACGGGCTGCCGCACACAGCCACGGCAAAATAACCGGGAGAAAGGAGCCTCCTGACAATTAGCTATGGCTCCTGAAGGTGAACGTGGCTCTCTGAGTGAAGGTGGCCCATGAGCACCCCCCTCTGCTAGCTTCAAAACGCTCGGCGTGCCAACTTTCAAAAAAATTTTTTAAAAATTAAATAGGGGAAAGTGGCTCCAAATGATAATTAGCACAGGTCATTCTTCGCACGACTAGGGTCTTATTAAGAGGACGGTAATTAGGGCCGCGTGCCTCTGATGACCATGAAACAGCTTGATTGTGGTTAATTATCCACTGTCAGCAATTCCGACTTATTCCCATTCCCACCGTGCTCTAGTAGACGAAGCCCTTCTGCGGTTGTCAGCTCTTGTCCTCCAGCATTGGGCTGTTCCTCACCTTTGTCTCTAACTGCTGTGGCCAGAGGAAGCCTTCCTGAGGTTTGGTATGAAGATCTGGAAATGCACTGTTTGTGAAATCTGACATCTCCCCCTCCCCCCAATCCGGGCGGATTCACAACGGTGAAGTCCAGGATTCATCAGTACTTAAGAATCCAGGAGATGCTGGAAAGCAAAATTTCATACTTGACGCAAGTGCAGAATGGGAGCTGACTTCAGAGAATGACTTTGACCCATTTAAATATGAGCACACGGTCTTGTTTTTAAAGTATATTCCTCTCAAGTCAAGAAGAAAATCAAGAGCCCTCCAGTTAACAGCTACAGCAAGCGGCCTCCTTACCGTTTGCATTGATGGGTTAAGCGTTATGTAAAAAATAAGAGCTTTTTAAGCCAACGGCTGCTAGCGACTGCGAAGTGACAGCTATTTAAATGTGAAAAGTCATCGGCAAACACATTCCTTCTGTGACACCTGCTTTAATCAGCCAACAAAGACCCAGCGAACGGCCGGGTGCGAGAGCCCAGCCTGTGATATTCAAATGATGGGGTGATACGACATGCAAAAACAACAACATCAAAGGCCAGCTTTGTGGAGAGGGACTTGCCCCACCTTCTTCTGAGGAGGGAGAAGAGGACCATGTGAAATGATGCTGGAATGAGGGACACATCAGCTAGCCATAGAGATGAATAGGGTTACTCTTGTTCTTCTTCCTTGAAGACTTCGAAAGTATTTTTACAGAGTAGTACTGCATGACTGCCTGAAATGACAGACTGTCCAATTAATTAGTCCTAAAAAGAGCATCAAATTAATGAAAGAAAGCTTATAACATTATCATACAACTATTAGTTGCCTGTTGCCAATGTGACTTGGCAGATAATTAAAGTGGTTAGAGACATTCTCATGGAACAAACTTAGACTGAAGTGTAGGAGGACCTGAGGAGGATGATAGAAAAACAAGAGGAGAGAAATCAGAGAGAAGGAGTGTCAACGATGAATCGAGAATTCCCTATGGGGGCAGGAGTGGGACGGGAGGGGATGAAAGGGCCAGCAAAAGGAGGAGCAGAGGGTGCAGCCTGGGAGAAGAGGCGGGGGTGGATGTCGAGAGAGGATAATGAGAGAGAGAGGGAGAAGGAGAGGGCCAATAATGAGAGCCATTGCACCTGTTCACATTTTAGAGTGTATCCATCCTCAGAGCGCGTTTGATAAACATCATTCACTGCAGCTCTGATTCGCTGAGTGTCTCTAACTCTCTGTTCCTATCTTCCTTTTACGGTGTTGACCAGAAGGCTATGAGATGGGCTTTAAGTGTGCCACGCTGTCTAAATCTAGGACATCATCCAAGATGTAAACCACCCTCTACACTCTGTAAATCCATGTAACGACACTCTGTTCAGATCACGTTGTCCAGGAGCACAGAACCCATATTAACATAAGATAAATATTCCTAGTGCTGAAGGACTTTAAAGAGGGTTTAAAAATCTTTAAAAGGAAATCATAACTGTAAAAGTGTTCTGATCTTGTGCTCAGAACTGAAACAGAATTGTCAGGATTGAAGCTGGACGCTGAATAGGATTGTGTTTGTCCACTTTATACCGATAGTGCTGAGCTCAGGTCATCTTCTGTGAGTGATTTGTTATATTTCACAGGCTCAGCAGCCACACATTCAGCTCTGGAAAAAATTAAGAGACCACAGCAAAATTTTCAGTTGCCCTCATTTCTCAAAATATGGGTATGAGCCTGCGTAAAATATACAATTTTTTTTGCAATCTCCAGCCTGGGTCTTCCCTGCTTAACATTAATGAAAGGCTTCTTCCTTCCTTTACGGGACTTTATTCCTGCTTCTAGGAGCCTGATACAAACTTTCGGAGCAGTGCACTTCACATCTGAACTTAATGTTTCCCATTCCTTTGGAAGGTCACTTGATGTTATCCTCCGATTCATGGGGCACTATTGGATAAGTTGACGGTCGTCTCTGGCATTCAAAAGTTGCTTCTGCTCTCTACCTGACTAGTTTTTGGTCATTGCCAGTGTCTCCTATTTCGCATTAGTCTAGTATACTGCAGTCGTAGAAATTTTGAGCTTGGAAATAACCTGTTGCTTAGTGTAGCGTTCTCCAGCAGAATCAGGGTTAAACCAGGATTTAACAATGCAGACTCTTAAAAAATGGAGTGGTTTTTAAAAAAAATTCCAGAGCTGTATATGCAATTTGTGCTTTCAGACACTAGTTTTTAGTTTTAGTACTCTTTAGATTCAAACATAATTAACATTGGAATTGAAATCACATTCATGTAAAACAAGCTTTCAGTGTCTACTATCATATCACCCCCCATTTCACTTAAATCTGAAGCATTTATGTTAGTTGGAGGAATTTGTCTTTTGATTTTAACAAACTGTGAGTTTTCAGGAGAGCTGTCACAGAAGATAGCTGCTCATCATATGTTTAATCAAAAACATTGTTCTGTAACGGCTCCTTCAGCGTCTTCCTGCAGTTATTAACATGCTTCACGTTCCATCAGCAGGACATTTATTGCCAAACCCCACCCTTTAATACAACTGTGAAGCCTCCTAAAATACCACTTTCTAATTCAGTGATCCAGATTGATTTGTCTTCCCCACATCAACAGACAGTGATGTGAAATATTGCTGTTGCTTTGGAGAACAGGACTACAGCGACACACTCTACAGCATCCTGGCTCCAGAAACACACCTCTGTCCAAGATACCTTGAGGTCTTGGCTTCTGGCCCCAGCTGCAGTCCTGGTCTTTCTGTGTGAATCTGTAACTCTGTGCTAATCCAGACGTCGTAAATACATACATCCATCCATCCATTTTCTGAACCTGCTAGTCCAATTCAGCCTCACAGGAGGGGGTCCAGAGCCTGTCCTGGAGGCTATGGGCACAAGGCACGGAACAACCTAGATTGGGGCGCCAACCCATTGCAGGGCACACTCACACACCATTCACTCACACAGGGATACCTATGGGCAATTTGGTAACTCCAATTAACCTCAGCATTGTTCTGGACTGCGCGGGGAAACCAGAGTGTCCGGAGGAAAACCGCGACGAAAACAGGGCAAGAATATGAAAACTCCATTCACATGGAACCCTGGTTGACACTCAAACCCGGGTCCCAGAGGTGTTAGACAGCAGGACTAACCACAATGCCACACATTGCAGATTCACTTCACTTCATTTTAATGTAGCCTCCTTCTAGCAGGGCAGCTGTAAGCATGTACCATCAACACCTTTTATAGTGATTACAAGCTGTTAAAAGATGTGCCTTACCTGCTGGGGGCCCTCTCCTTCATTGCCTCATCATTCTCTTGTTTGCTCACATATTTGAAAGCTTTGGGGCAGGGGTACATCCAACTCCTGCCTTTTCCCTCATGAAATGATTCCCAAGGACTGCAGTCTTCATCACATGCCTGCCAAACAATAAATGGTTTCATTTGAAACCCTATGGGGAAACAGTTCTATTTTTATGGTGTGTAATCACATTACTACTGGTGTTTTATAAAGCAAAAAGAAAATAATATTTTCAGGAACATCGATCCCATGTATTTCAAAAGTGAAATATGTCATATGGTTGTCACACCAGACATATGCAACTGTAAATAAAATTATAAACTAACTAGAAAACCAAAATTAAGGCAAACATAAATGAACCTATTTATATTTGGAAATATAAAAATGGGCTCAAAATGTGATGTTGCTTCCTTGTAAACAAAATGAAATGGTGTACAGCAATAGGAAAAGGAAGTAATGCTTCTCAAAATTACATAACAGATTTAATTCCAGCCTTGTAGATGTATATATTGACCTTATATATGTACTAATGAGTTAACTGTATGTATGATTGTAAGATAAAAATTGTGTAATGTTTTAGCCTATTCTAACAACATATGCATTTGGTTTACGTCAGTCCTTTTTCCATGTGCAATTTTTGCATATTTAACTGTTTATGTATGTTACCAGGAGTCTGTATGCGGTAGCTTTTCCCGTGAGTGTCCGTGGTTTGTCAGATGGACAGTTGAGGATCTTTCACCATGGTACACAAAATCAGTTACATTTTTTATTCTATAAGCGACACTTCAAAATGTGGTATTCATTATTAATACCAGTGACATGCACAGACTTTTCAGGCATTTGAACAGGGGGGCATGGCCGACGTGTACTTTTTGCAGCGGTAAATATTCATGATCGCGTGGTGGGGGGCATGGGCGGGTTTCAGTGCATGCTGTTTATGTTGACATGCTGGATAATTCAAATTTAAATATTAAGCTGTAATGTTAAAGCTGTACTTACACTATGTATCCATTTTAATTTTACTTCTTCATATTCAAAGTCGAATTGCGATTCTGCACCGTGTTTTCCACTAATTCTATTAATTGAATTTGATTTTCAAGGTCATTCTCAAGTCAGTTCAGAAGGGTGCACAACCCTGTTATGTACTCAAATGGCATACAGGTGTTACAACAACGAGCCCCATTTGCGCTAATTTATAGTCGACATTATTATAGTTATAATATTGCAACATCGACCTCTTATTAGGCTATATCATCAGCATTATTACGCTGTCCAAAATGCACCGTCAATGTCTTTTTGTCATCTATTTTGGCCGATTCCCGTGTTTCTATGACATGTCAGCAGGCAAGAATTCAAATAAACAACGACGTAGAAAATAACGAGAGGGTCGGAGTACGAACGAGATAACAGACTACTTTCGTCACGAAGGGTTTAAACAACAACGTACTAGATAACGAACTATACGTGGCGTTACGAAGCTTTTGGGAAAGCCACTCCAGAGTAGCTTACGGCAATACATACAAGCTGTACAATACACATAAATATATATTTTACACGTAGGTGACGAAGAGGAAGTAACGAATATTATTAACCCAGGCGGGATAAATTAACTTTGCTTAGTTCCCACAAGGTCACGACGTTGTCGGGAGCGATGCATATAGCTGCAAGTGAGCTATACTGCGGCTCTACGGAATCTGCTCAGTTACCCAGGGCTATATCGCCGAAAGGTCCGCGGAGGGCGGGGGTTTATTCCCGAAGGAGCAGCTAGGAGGAGCCCCACCGAGAAAGAGAGAGCCTCTGTGTCCGGACCGCAGGTGCTGTACTTTACAGTAGCAAAAATTTCAATTAAAAATATTTTAGTATATTGCAGGGTTGCCAACTTTGGTCAGATGGCTGGCGTGACATTTTCAATTTGTGACAAGTCTGCACATGCATGTAAGAGTTTTATTACCTTGTAAATAGTCTATATAGTTTGCAAACCACCACAACGCTTTTAACGTAGCTAATTTTTAAATAATAGATTTGCCGTTAAGATTTCTTGCGGGAGCGTGAGTGTCTGAACGCGTGCGTGTCACGCCAGATGCAGTTGGCAGCTCCAACACTGTTTCTGTGAACTATATGAACTAAAAAAATATGAATTTATAGTCATGTGTAGCTTAACGATGCATTCTGAAAAAAAAGTACAGTATAGTAAATGCATAAACCAATAACATAGTTTAACATAATTATAAATTATTATGTACTGTACATAATTGTATTCTCTATGCTTGTATAGCACTGGCAGCGCACTAGGTTTGTTTACATCAGCCTCACCGTAAACACGCGAGTAATGTGTTACAAACCATATTACCATGGCTACCACGTGGCTAAGGGCGATAGAAAGAGAACCCAGAACGCCCTTTTCACTTAGCCGTGTTAGGAGTCTCTGCACATTGCCTTGGCCACCCTAGACTGGAACCTGGCCACCCCCTTAGCCGCCCCCGTCGTATTTGCATTTTGGTTAAATCATATTTTGATTTTAAAAATCTCCTTGTACTCCGTAACTGTTTCTCTGTGTCCCTGATGATATACTGATAATGCGTGAACTCGATGCTGCTGAGCTAAACATGTGCTCTCAGAACAATAGTAATGCAGCAGTTTTGAAGTTGTGTAAGCTTGTTACCTTAACTGCAAGAAATTGATATATAAAATGTGTATTTGGTAATTCCACCACTGCCCGAATTGTATACAATGCAGAGTTATTGTCACGCCCAGCTCCGTACGATCCTTGTGTGTGCCACGCCCCCTCATTACCTCGTGTCAATTCCTGGTTGTGATCACCTGTGTCCCGTTATTTCTGGCTAGTCTTGTGTATTTAGTCTGCGTCTTAGTACGTCTCGTCAGATCCGTCATTGTAGTGTCCGTGGATGTCCCTACCTGTCTGTTCTTTGAGCATTAAAACCCCATTTGTCCGTCTTCACGGCTCCATTCGCCTGCTTTTCGGCTCGCCTGCTCCGCAAGCGTGACAGTTATAGCATTTAGGTACCTTAAATATTACCTTGTTATCTAGATGCCTTATATTCATATTTAGATTTATGTGCCCCCCCCCCCAAAAAAAAATATAAAAATTACACCTAGTTTCACCCTGGCCACCCCACTGAAAATGTTCTGGCTTGCCGCTGTCTCTGCTTCACATCAGTTTATCAGTTTATTCACAGAACCACTGTACTTTCATGAGAAATACTCGTGGAAGGTCCCAGATGAAAATCACAATAATGACCTGCAATATTAAGCTGTTTGTTGTATTCAGAGATGCATATCTGTCCTCTCGATCAGTCCGTGTGCTGGCCTTTCATGATCCTCTTCAGTGTGCTGCTTTTTGCCATCAGTCATGTTATCACACTCCCCATAAGTTATTTGTGTTTGTGTTGATTAACAACAAAACCACCCACAAAACCAACAGTATGGAATTTACTTCCCAGAACAAGCCTTGCTGGAAGCAGAAAAATATATTAAAAATAATATATCTAATGATTTACTTGTTTTTTTATAACCCAGAGTTTTTCTGGCAGCTGTCATCAGTTTTGCTCATTGCAGATGTTTTAGTTAATTTTCATGTTTGAAATTCTCTAAAGTTTTAAAGGTGATGTTGTTTCTAAAGTAGAGTTTCTTGTAGTTTCTGCTTTGTGCCATATGCTGTCTGGGACAGACTGCACCATGACCCTGACCAGCAGTTAAGTGGTTAGAAGATGGATGGATAGAGCATAATTGGTTCTGATTGGTCAATAGAAATGAAGGACAGGCCAAACACATTTAAGAGTCATAACCCTAACGGTACTGCCCATACGGTCACAGAGAACAGCACCTGATGGAGTTTACACAGGGAAATGAAGCAGTACATTTTGAACAGGCATCAATGACATTAATCTGTGAAGCAGATTTAAAACGTTATTTTGCCTATCTGCATTATACAGGAGGTCATGTGAGTATAGTTCGCTGTAAAGATTAACTCTCTGATCACTTTTAAGTTAGCTGTCAGTGACTGTATGTGAATCGCAGAGGTGCCTGTGATAGTGTGTGATTCATAGCAAGGCAATGGGCGAAATGGATATTGGCCCTAATAGCTATTTCCAAACTATAGTCTTTATCATTAACATCAAATAACATTTGCTTGGTGACAGGAATAATTTGTCTACTCTGAATTAAGATTTTCATGGAAACTATAGCTAATGATCCATAATTATCATTTATCTTGCCACTTGATGTCACTAGCTATTCCACTGAGATGTGCAGCTTTCGGGAGGAATCACCAGAACTGTAGTGTAAGAGAGACGCTCTGGGAGTGGTCAGGAGATGCTGTTTGGTGGAGCTTTTGTTCACCAGCTACCTGTTCAAAGTGGGCAAGTGGCCAAAGGCATGCGGTGAGGTCTGCATGCCCCTGTAGCATAGAAATACAGTCTTGGTATAGATGAATTCTCAGCCCAGACCAGCTCTTCAGTGCCTACTTCCTTTCTGAAGTTGTTTTTATATTTATTTATAAATATACAGGTTCACCCAGCCAAAGAATATGGTTCCCCCTCTTTTTCCTTTCTCCCCATAGTCAAGGACTAGTGTGTGATTTGCCATCAGTTGTAGTTCCTATCTCCAGGTTCAGGATCACTACCCTACAGTCACCCACCTCATAAAAGCCCCCATTCCAAGCCTGCAACAAAATTAATGAAGGAGCCATGGCTATAGAAACAGCCTTTATGCTTTAATAAGCATTCTGGACAAAATAAATGAACTTGGCCTCCAATCGGGCACTTGCCATTATGCGTTTCGGTCAGGTAAGGATAAGCTGGGGGCGTAACATGTTGCCTGTAAATTATGGTGGAGCCAATGCTGGAAACCTCTGGAGGAACTGTTCCTACTTTCTGCAGCTTTGACTGCAGCTCTGTGGGCAATCTCATAAAGGCAGCGGGAGCGTGTTCAGGGTGACATCAGCTGAAGCTGGTCGCCGGGAGACAGAACTGACCCTCACCAGGAGATTACAGCCATTCTGTTAAAGCTGCACTCAGGAGACAAAATGAAGCAGCATGAAGCAGCAGAATACCTGCAGGATAAACGCACACCCACCTTGGGGTATCTGTGACACTTCTGTAAATCCATTGCAAGCCTACTGTCGAACCGGAGGAAATGCTAATGTCATAAGGTGGACATAGTATTACAGCAGTTTCATCAGTTGTGATGTCATCATCTTAAATATTAGATATCCTGTCAGATACAGTTTCTATATTCTGGGCTGGAGCCACTGCCCTGAGTGCTTGAGGCTGCAACCTCAGTTGACTGACATGACCAAACCTTTAATGCAGGTGTGGTGTAAAGAGGGGGATGGTAGGACCCTTCCAAGGGCCCCGGAGTGTACCGCAGCCCTAAAAATTTGAAACATAATTGGAAAAGTCTGGGTTGGGGGCCCAATATGTTCTGATTTCTTGGGGCCCAAAATCTGTAGCAGCGGCCTGCATAGACATGAAGAATCACCTTGAGGGTGAGGTTGCTGTATGGCAGTTCCTGTGAAAAGTCTTTTAGTAATTTTTGAATCTGATTCACCCCTGTGTTTTTATTCTGAAACAGCACTGCAATGATATTCCCACAGTATCCCTGTGATGCTGAAGCATGTTGTGACTTTATAGGCTTAAAGAGGTCCTATGTTTACCCACATTATTGGCTGATCTGCTTGTCCATATTCTCACATAACAGTGCTCTCTGTCTCACTGCACAGCGGCTGTTAATTAAGTTAGACAGAAGTGAATTTTCAGAAGAAATAGAGCTTGCCTGCCGTGAATCTCTGTCCACGTTCACACTTTTCTCTGAAAACGTCTGTTCTTCTGCGCTCCTGCATCCAGGTGCGTATTTGTGCCTTCATGCATGTGCGTCCTATGCCCCCGCCCCAACAGCGAGCCCCCGATGTGTGCAGCTGCTGCATACACAGCACTCTGCTTCAGGGGGGTGGGAGGGACAGTGAGGTGGGGTATCTGGGAAAAATCAGGAGCTGTCTGGCTGACATGGACCTATCCCGCTCACATGGACCTGCCTGACTCACACAGACCTCCTTCACTGACATGGACCTACCTTGCTCACACAGACCTACCCCACTGACACAGACCCACCTGGCTCACACAGATCTGCCCCACTGACACAGACCCACCTGGCTCACACAGACCTGCCCCACTGACACAGACCTACCTGGCTCACACAGACCTGCCCCACTGACACAGACCTACCTGGCTCACACAGACCTGCCCCACTGACACAGACCTACCTGGCTCACACATGCCTGCCCCACTGACACATACCTACCTGGCTCACACAGGCCTGCCCCGCTCACACGGACCTGCCTGACTCACACAGACCTCCTTCACTGACATGGACCTACCTTGCTCACACAGACCTACCCCACTGACACAGACCCACCTGGCTCACACAGACCTGCCCCACTGACACATACCTACCTGGCTCACACAGGCCTGCCCCGCTCACACGGACCTGCCTGACTCACGCAGACCTCGTTCACTGACACAGACCTACCTGGCTCACACAGACCTGCCCCACTGACACAGACCTACCTGGCTCACACAAACCTACTCAGCTCACACAAACCTGCCACACTAACATGGACCTGCCCCGCTCACATGGACCTGTCCCACTGACATGGACCTACCTGGCTGAAATGGATCTGCCCCACTGACATGGACCTGTCCCACTGACATGGACCTACCTGGCTGAAATGGATCTGCCCCACTGACATGGACCTGTCCCGCTCACACAGACCTAGCCCATCCTGATGTAGTGCAGC